AGGTCAAGCCACCTCTTTTAATCAGATAGAAGATCAAAAAGTAAAACACTGATGATTCATACCCCCCACTATCTAGATGCGTGAAATGACTCTTCAGGTTTGTCTCTACTGCTGTCGTCGTTGCTGCCATCATTGGTCCAACCCTTCCACCTCTGCTTCACCACTTCTCGTTGTCGCTATGCAGGCCAAGCCACCTCCTTTATGTCGCTGCAACAAGCTGATCTTTTTTCTTCCATTGGTACTCTCCTGTCCTTTTATGTTCTCTCGTTTCTTCTCTCCCCTTTCTTCCCCTCCCATCTCCTCCTGTTTCTTGTTCTCTCTTGCTTTGATCCCCTCATCCCCCGCTTTTATTCTCTCCTCTCCTATTCCCCTCTCTTACCCTCTATTTTCTCCTGATGTTATTACTTGGATGCCAGATACTTTGAGATAGTACTTTTTATTTGGTTGAAGACTGGTGTGTGTGACGGTAGTATTCAAACGGTTTATAGTAAGCAATTTGTGATGATCTGAAATGGAACACCTGTAGTGGGTGGTAGATGGCAAAATTACTCCATGGACAAATGCATAATTTTGCATCTATTCCTGGTGGAGTGTTTATAGGCAACTCAACAAGCCTTAGCTTCCAAGTAATAAGAAAATTGTCTTTCGTTGGGAGCATTGCCACTCTTATAATATGAATCCTAGAATTTAGGCTGTATTTGGGAACACATTTGCATTCTTAATGTGCATTTGGATATGGAGGCTCGAGTGAATGGCTTTTAGTGTTTGGTAAACAATAGATGAAAATTTTTTCTTAAATATACATTAACGTGAGTGTTGTTTAGTAAAATTATATTTCAAAAGTCCATTAAATATTATATGACAAATTTACCTTTCTAATATTTTGAATATTTATTAAAAATAAATATATATTTTTTATTTAAAATAATAAGTAAACAAATAAAATAAATGAATGTATGTAATTTTACAAAAAAAATTCATATGACCTAGACATATAATACATAAAAATATAATTATATAAATAAATATAACCTTTGAAAATAAATAAATAAATAAATAAATAAATAAAATTTTATCTTATAGAAGACAAATTATGTTATTTTCACTAAATCATGTTGGTAATTTTGTGATTTTAGATAATGCAATAGGGCATTTTGGGAATTTGAAAAATTATATTAGCATCCCATAAATGTTGGAATATTAATCCTACCCTGAGATAGCATCAACATTTGCAATACATCATCGAGGTCAAATGCGATTTGGGAAAAAAAAATACCAAACACTGAATCGCATTTGAAATGTGCATTGTTCCTCAATGCATATTTCAAATGTGTTTCCAAACACACTCTTAGAGGGTGATATTTTGAGTTAAAATTCAGAAGGTTGCTTAAATTTCAGTTCTATTCCAATAAATTTATATAAACTATCAAATCCTTATTAAAATCTCAATCCCCATTTGTGTCCCTCAGTCATTTGCACATTAGTTTGATGTAATGACTTTACATGCTCATGTAGGTCCCGTTACCAAGTTGACTTCTCATGACAAGATGGGGTTCATCAAGGTCTCACTTAGGAAACTCAATTTCCGGTACCAGACCTGTGCTGTCCATGGTCAGACTAATATGGGTGCGGTAAGTGCTGGCATAGCGATGTGCTGACACCTTCTGTGGTACCGAGAAGAGGTAAGGGATGGGGGATGGGGGATGGGGGAGGAGGAGAAGATACTGATTTGGCGGTGGTCAGTGGCTGATGCGAGCAATGAGCGGGTGGGCCTGCAAGTCTCAGTCACTCACGACTCGCGTCCCAGGGACTTTAAAATGTAAGATGCGCTGCAGCTTCTAAAAAAAAAGGGGACTGAACCACCTGAAAAGAGGTGGTCCACATTCCTATTAATGCCTGGACCAGTAAACATGGCTTGGTATGAACCCATCTGTGTGAAGATTGAGTTTTGTGGTCTCATCATCTGTGCATTTTCAACATAAGCCTACTCAAGGTCAGCCTGAATCAAACCCATGGCATCCAGCTTAGGTTTGTTGTAATTTTGCATAAAAAATTTTCAGGGCTTTCTTGGACAAATGGTTATAGGAAGTGTACCAATTTGGGTTTCTTATCATTAATAAAATGTTAAATAACCTTGGTTAAAATAAGGCAGCTAATAGTATTTTAAGCTTTATTGTGGCTAAAATGCCTGAATTGCAAGCTCGAGAACAAGTTTCTAGACAAGTTTGAAGTCTATTGGGTTAATCCAGTACATACTTGACTACCAATTTTTTGCAAGTCTTGAATGAATTAAGTTGTGATGATATCATTTTTATAGAAGTTGTTGCTGATTTAAAGCAACTAGTTGTGTTTGTTGGATATATTGTATTCTTTATTGTGACTGATAGTTTTTTCCAGAGTGATTTACAGTTACTGTTAATTGATCTGTCTAACATTTTTACTCTCTTTAACCTATTTTCTTCTCAGCCTTTGGACATTGGTTTATGGATTCTCACCTGCACACATGCAGAAACTAGTACTTGTGCATTTTTGCATACTGTTTTTGTATTTGAGTCTTCATGGTCAGTCATGTCTACTTATTTTGTTATTAAAGCTCCAATTGCTACTTGATGATTCATTTTGTGAGCCTCTGTAGAATGTTCTAAGATCCTATATGATCTATCTGTTATGACTTTGTGACTAATAATGTCTTAATCAAGATTTTAATCATCATGACTAATTTACAACACCACATTTATATTTTCACTTCATGATAGCAGATCTATGTCTTCTTTCCAACTGAAGCAAAGGTTGGTGTAAAACAAATAAAGCAGTATGTTGAGCGTATGAAACAAGAGAACGTGTTTAGAGCAATATTAGTCGTTCAACAAAATCTAACTCCATTTGCAAGATCATCCCTGCAAGAAGCATCTCAGAAGTATCATTTGGAGGTCTTTCAGGTATATCATTTCCTCTTTTGCAATTCTAGCAGCTGCTTCATAGCAAGCTCATATTGGTTTAAGTTTAAATTTATTATTTGGAAGTTTAAATTTTCTTGTCATATTTCTTTTTTGTTTGTTTCTTTTTAATTTTTAGGTAAGTGTATCTATTGATTTTTGTCTTATAATATTAAAACATAGGAGGCAGAGCTTCTTGTCAATATCAAGGACCATGTACTTGTTCCAGAGCATCAGGTTCTGACAAGTGAGGAAAAGAAGACATTACTGGAGCGTTATACACTGAAGGAAACTCAGGTAGCCAAGATTGATAAAAATTGATATACTTATGGTGGTAAAACTGATGTCGGCTTATTTGATGCATTTGCAAGTATCCTAGCATCATTAATTAGTTTCTGACAAGATCTTGAATTGGTGTTATAATGCTTACATAAGCACTTTGTCATTCTAAGCATGCATATGGATAACAGAGCTGGAGTTATGTCTTGAGACATTGTTTTGGTGGCCTGAACTTCAGCTTACAAAGTCATTTTGTGCAGCATCAAAAGAATTCTCATAATTGATCTGATGATATTATCTTTACATAAGAACTTCATCATGCTATCCTTGTTTGAACCTTGAATTCCTCTTTTTGCCTAGGTTGTCTTGAACTCATGGTAGCCTTCTTATTACTAATGCCATCAATCATGGTTCTAATTAAATTATTCGGACTTGTTTTTTGGGGCATTTTGATATATGTGTTCATGAATCTAGTTTTTTGTCATCAAGTTCTTTCTCTGTGATTATCTGTCATGAACTCCAAAAACTTGATAATTAAATTCTTCATTTCTCATCAAGAATGACACACACATTTGAATGTCCATGGATTAGCACTTGATAACTGTTCACTAGATAATTTGTTTGATAGATCTATAAGCCAACCTTGTCACTTACGGACCTTGTCTCGGATGGAAAGGAAAAGAGTTGCATGGTTATTGATAGCTAGTGTAAAAAAAAACTACGTTACATCATGAACATGGATCTTAGTCACTTTAAGTCATCATCCGGAGGTGAAGTGAGGGACCTCCACTACTCAGTTTTGTTAAAGTCAGAAGGGTGGACTTGAAGGTCGTTTTGGAAATGGTCGATGTTATCGTTGCCCAGCTGTGGTACAAGATAGGCAAGGATTCTTTTATTGTTTTGGGTTAATGCAAATTAGGAAATTAGTTCAAGATCAAAGGATTGAGTAAGCAACTTAGAATGTACAAACACTTTTATGAAAAATGCTCAACTTGGTGGATACAATAACCAGAAGAATAATCGACATAATTTGTTTGCAGAAGACTTGAGTGTAAAAGTCTTGAAGGACACATTGTAGATATTGTTTGGTATCTTGAAAATGTTATAACACAGAAATGTTGTAGATATTGTTTCAGACCAGGATCTTAAGGACACGTTGCAAAGGTAAAGAGATTTGGTGACAACATTATAATTTTAAAATTTGTATTCATCTAGGAGACTTTAAATTTTATAAGTACTTATGATTCTCAAATTGGATTATATGAACAAACCAAAAGACAATGCTGGAAAAATTTAGACAAGATTATTCAAGGAATGCCTTCAATTGAGAAACATATTATTGGATGGGATTTGAATGGGCATGTGTCAAAAAATATAGTGAATTTAATGGAGTCCATGGGGGTTTGGAATGTAGGGAGAGAAATGGTATGAACTTAGATTTTACTATATATACTTAGTTCGATGAACATTTGATTAGTTATGTAAGTGACCATATTTTTAGTTACAATATTCTCTTCAGAAAAGTAGATAGAATTATTTATAAGGATTGTAAATTTGTGCTCGGTGAAAGCTGAACGAATGAACATAGATTTATAGTACTAGATATATGTTGTAGGAAATAGAAGAATCAAAAGTAAACATTTACTATGTTACATAGTGGAATATGCATTATAGTATAATCACTAATGTTGGAACTATAGAGTGTCTAGTGTTGGAACCAAGTATAATCACTAATGACTTCACTAAGTAGGACTAAGATTAAAATTATAACATGTAACTTAGAAAAATTGACTACATAGCAAGGTTTGCCTTTTCGGGTGCCGGATCTGTTTTGGCATTCTGTCAAACCTGAATGTACCAGTCTATATCGGTGTACTAACACATGATATGTCGGTGCGTATCGATGTTTCGACGAGGAAGAAAACGAGGGTGAAAAGGAAGGGGCGGTGGAGGAATAGAGGAGGAAGGAGAAAAGAAAGAAGAAGAAGCGGAGGAGAGGAGAAGTGCAGCAATAACACCTGGGAAGGCAGCGGGAGCATCACAGCAGCGAAGAGGCAGCCTGCGCTGCAGCATCGCAGCAGCGAAGTGGCAACAGCGAGGGCTGCGGCATCATCCGCGAGAAAAGTGCTGGCATTCGTGATACCTAATTTTCTATTTTTTTCTTTTTTAATGCTGACATGGATTAGGGCCAACCACTTTTTGATTTTTTTACTATTTTAATTGGATCGTCAGAAACAAGGTGGTTCGAGTATCAGTCCATGCTCAGACCGACATGTACCTCTCGTATTGTACATTGGGATAATTCTTTAAGTATTTTGGGTCGGTTATTCAACAAAATGGAGAGATTGGTGAATATATTATTTATAGAATAAAAATTATGGGTTAAAATGGATATAGATGAAGGGAGGTTTGTGTTACTAGAAAGGATAAAAATGAGATTTTTTGTGAAATATTATGTGTAACTTTGCAGAAGACAAGATGAGGAAGAACATTTAAGATGGTTTAGATATGTGTCAAGGAGAGTGTAGTTAGAGGAGGTGAGAAAATTAATTTCAGTGGTCTGTGAAGAGGTATATGGAGATTTGTGTAGAGGTATTTTTAATTAAAATATCTCCACTAACAATATGGCGAGAAAACCTATCCTAGTTTAAAAAAAATCTATTCTTATATCTACCAAGCTGACAGTAGTATTTTTTTTGGCTTCCCCCCTGATGTTAATGATTTTTGAAAAATATACATAATAATTGGCATATGTTTTGATATATATGAAATATAATATGGAAAATTATTTATGACATTTTATTATGGGGAATTTTCTTGTCGGTTGGGTTGGGTGAGGATGATAGTGGGGTATAAGTGATATTGTCCTCTCCTTGTGCCAATCAGGTTCTTTTTGAAAAAATGCCAAACTCATCCTGTTTTTGGTCAGAGCTAATTAAACCTGATCAGATCGAACCCTTGGTGTACCATGGGTGTAGGTTGAAATTATCAAATGGGTTGTTCCCACATGTTTCTTTTTTTCTCTCTTTATGTAGTCACTGGCTTCCTCCCTCCATTATTATTGTTGCAAATCATCTAGAGTTGGCCAAATTTTGGTTTTATGACTGTTGATGTTGATTGATTGATGGATTCTAAATGATATTTTGCATTAAAGCTGATAATTTAATCAAAATTGGATGAGCCTATGATAATATTGATATAGATTATGTTAGATTCTGCCATGAACTTTGGATCAGAGAAAATGTTATTACGCAATGGTGTCTTCTTTTCCATGGTTATTGGAATTTCAATCTAGGCTGTGGGGTCGCATGTTTCTATGCTCAGATGAAAATTGGAAAGCTCGATCCTTTGATCTGATTTTATGCATCCCCCTAGGTAGAAAAGCAAGTTTGACAACCTTCTTTTCATATGTTAGAGCAAGCAGGACATCCTAGGGAAAATTTCTGTTCATTCATTTGTCTCTTCTTTGTTTGTATGTTGTTTTGACGTAATCATTCAGTATTGCCTTTATCATTTATAACTTTGTATTGTTACGTTGTGGATTACAAAATCCGAATGATTCAATTGACTATAGAACCAAAGATATTCCATGAAAGAAAACAGATCATGTTGCAATATCTAGTTTGAAAGATATTCACTTTGTGTGGGTCTGGAGAATTGTGCGTCCTTTCAGATCTTGAAAATTGTGATCTGTGGGATGAAGACATTGTAAGTTTGTACCTTCATTTCATAATAAAGATGTGATATTTTGGTTTCTGCAGAAGTGATTAAACCAGATACTGGTGTAATCCAGGCAGTTAATGTAGTCCAAATCAGTCTATTTATGTTAGATTGAGTCAATTTACTTGTTTATGGTTGAACTCAAGGGTGGCAGTAGTTTTGGTCTCTAATCCTTTTTGTTTATTCTTGTTTTAAATTTTATCACATTCTTTGTGACTAATTTATAGCTTATTTTAGTGATTTAAAAAGGCGCTCGGGCGCTCACCTAGGTTCTCGGGCGCTCACCTAGTTGCTCGGGCGAGGCGAGGCAAGGCCCGAGCGCCTCGCTAAACTTCCAGGCGGCGCGCTTCGAAGAGGCGCCGCCTAGGCGCTCGCCCGAGCCCAAGCGCTGGACGCTTTGGGCGAGCGCTTGTGTTAAACCAGGCAACCGAGCCAGGATTTTAGGTCTGGTTCGGTCTCCGATGGTTAGTAGGTTCAATCGAACCAACTAAATTCGACATCAGCTATCGCTGCCCAACCCTAACCGGCTAACCTTGCTCATTGCCGTTGTCGCTCCCGCGCCCGCTACTCGTCGCTGTCGTTGCTTGCAACCGCTACCGCTGTCGTTGCTCGCCGCTCCGACTGCTTGCCACTCCTGCTCCCGCTGCTGCTGTCGTTGCTCGCCGCTGCCGTTGCCGCTGTCGTTGCCGCTGCCACTGCTGCTGTCGTTGTCGCCGCTCGCCGCTCGCCGATCTCGCTCCTGCTGCCTCCTTACACTCCCGCTCTCGCTGCCGTTGCCTCCTTACATTCTCTCTCCCGTTGCCGCTATCTCGTTACACTCCCGTTGCCACTGCCTCCTTACATTCCCGCTGCTGCTGCCTCCATACACTCCCTCTGTCGCTTCCTCTTTTCTCAGTCAACACTCCCTTACACTCTTCCTTCTCCTTCTGTATACTGTTAATAGTATATTATATACTGTTAATATTGTTAGGTTTATTTGAAATTATTAATTTTCAATACTGTTAATAAATTAATAATATATTATTTTGATTTTAATACTGTTAATTTTTATTTATTTGAAATTATTGTTAGGTTTCAAGATAAATGACAAGTGTATAGAGCAACTCAATAGAGTCTCCAATTTTCATTTATGATTTTGTATCATAGATTTTCTTAATTTAATATCATATTTTTATTTAAAATTTTAAATAATTATATTTATTAATTATATTATATATTTTTATATTTTAGCGTCTCGTTTCACTCGGGTGAGCGCCTAACGCCTCGGGCGTTTTTGGACCTTAGCGTCTTTTGGCGCCTAGCGATTTTTAAATCATTGGCTTATTTTAAGTAACATTAGAAAAAGGTGGCCGATAGAGGTGCAATCTTTATAGTATGGTAAAGTTAGGAAATAGTGCATTATAGTATGGTAATTGATCAAGTAAAAGGTTTTTGGTGGCTTTTTGCCCCTGTTAATTATCTTTCTTTTCTTGTTTTATGTTCTTGCTTATCTTGATGTCCTTCCTTATCATTTTTCTAGTTCTGTTGGTTGTCTTCAGTTGCCCTGGAATTTGCTCATAGAGGTAGATCAAGAAACTTGTTAAATGTTCTTTCCTACAATCATAAAGATATTTAGTGTCTTCCAATGTTTTTCCTAATAAAAATTCTGCAATCATGAAGATATTTAGCGTTTAAGGTTATATAAGTCAAGGAACTCATTAAATCTCTCATAGCACCAAAGTTCCTCCGTTAAGACAGTTGGCTGAGATTTTCCTCTAGATAGACCTTTTTATATTTATCAAGATGGCGACGAGTGAAGGGGATTTGAAAAAGGAAAAAAAAAGTGTCCAGTGAGTTCGAAAAAAGAAAGGTGGTTGGTTGAACTAGAGGATAGGATCAAGATGAGAAGGAGTGTATGCATATGATATATGAGAAGATTGACATAAAATTATGTTTGTCTACTTGTTTTTCTCTTTGTGTACTATTTTCCATATTGTTATTTATGATTGTTTTTCTCTTTCAGCTTCCTCGAATCCAAGTTACAGATCCAATAGCAAGATATTATGGCCTAAAGCGCGGACAGGTCGTAAAGATCATCCGACCTAGTGAGACTGCAGGCAGATATGTGACCTATCGATATGTTGTATGAGATGTTTCAGATGCCTGCTGCTGTAAAGATATGCTGGTACTATCCAGATGTGCAATTTCTATTTTGTTGTCGGCTGTTAAGTACAACTTTCCTTTGTGGTGCAGCCTAAGGATTACTTTGGTTATTAGTTTCCAGTGATATGGGAATGATGGTTTGCGCAGGAGCATATGCTCGTCCATGGAACCAACCAGCATTTGCATGAGAAATTTTGTTGACCGAGATCTACGAGCATAAACATGAGAAAATTAACAAACTTTGCTGTAAGATCCGTGTGATCTTACAGCCTACAAAATTAGCCAACTGTTCAGAGTTGTACTAATTTTGAGTAAGCCAAGATCAGTGTGATCTTGTATAAAATTAGTGAATTTGAAATCCATGCAAAGTTATAGAACATAATACCATTAGAATGAACAATATTTGAGGCATAATTTTCACACGATAAAGTTTTGATGGGTCTAAAAATCAATTTTGACGTAATTTCATCTTTTAATTTGCTGAAATCATTATAAATAATTATTTTAAACTAGAAAAATTGATAAAGTTTGCTTTCATAAATTCATTTCGAAGATATTGAGTGAATTTGGATGATTTAGGTGCAAGTAACGTTATACATTTTAAAACAAGATTATACATTGATTTTGAATAGTCTGTTAGAAACAGTATAATTGAAGTCTAATTTTTTTTTTCTATCAATGTTATTGAAAAATATACAAATATTATATCAGTAATCCAAAAAGTAGTTTTGACACAATTTCAACTCATATTATAATTCTTGTATCAAGTTGCCAGATGTTTTATGTGTGTTTACTTCTGAAACTAATTTGTGTTTTTTGACCCGCCTTTCTAATGTAAACTTCATGAAAACTGCATAGTGCAAATGACTAGTATCAGCTCCAGCGCAAGGGCGTTAAGATTGTGTGTCGACTACAGAATTAGCTAGCACAAACTAATTAAGATTGTGTGTCCAAAGTATACTTTATTTAAGAAACTTTATATCAGTTCAATATATCAAGCATGAAAATTGAAACTAAAACATGGGATACACAACAACGTGTGATCGAGGCACAAACTAAGCACCGATGCTTAGTGATTGATGTCTTTCGGCTTATCAATGCTTCGATCATAATTTGTACTTTCATTAACCAACTATCGAAGGAGTATTTGGACAAGTTTATGATCGTCTAATTGGACAACATCGTCGTTTATAGCTAAACGTTCGAGGAGCATATTGAGCACCTTCGAACAATTTTCAAGATTATCAAGATGCGTGAAAAGAGAAGTGTCACTTTGCTCAGATGGAGATTTTATTCTTGGGGCATCGAATCGACGATGATTTAATTCGGATGGATAAATCAAAGGTGTAAACTATGGCGAAATGACGAACACCTCTTAGTGGTCTTACCAGCGGAGTTGTTTAGGTTAATATGTTGTTCAAAAATTATTAATGAAGATTCTGGTTATTCAACTAGAATATTGGTTGGGAACTAATCTAAATTTTATTTTATGCTTGTCTTTGTGTCGGGAAGCTCCACTAAATCTTATAAAAAATTATATAGTGGTGTATTTGATAAAAACTTTTCGATACATAAATTAGCATCAATTGTGTAGTGTCATCGAGTACTTTAGTACTGAATGTATCAAAACTTGAGACTTAGTTGGAAAGTGCACATACGGAACATTTTTATAGTTAGATTTCATGATTGTTTTATTGAAATACATGCCTTAATATCGAGGATGGTTGCTCACCTTTTCTAATTTCAAGTGAGATCATGCCGTATCAAATATAAAAACTACACAGTGATCATATGTGCAATCGCAATATTAGAGAAATGACACCATATCTATTGCATGACATTGATGTGTTCGTTATATAGTGCCGTGTTAGAGTGTTGGATCCATGACATCAAGGTGCTAGTCGCATGATATCCTTAGGTTCACTAAGTATTAGGATGTTAGACACTTGACGATGAGGTGGTGACGATCTCACTCTTCCCATATCAAGAAATGTGTGTGTTAAGGGAAAGTTGAATAGGGATTACACTACACAAATCATGAGAATACTAGAGAAAGATCATTCGATCTCTTCGAACTAATAAGTATTTCTTATAAAGAAGAATATATCAGAGAGTACCGAGAATGACACGAGAAAAAAGTCAAATAGAAGAACAGCAGATAAGTTGACAAAAGGAGGACAAAGAGATTAGGATAAAGATTTGGAACCACCATAAGTTGACAAGAGAGTTGATTGACAGGTAAGGAGGTCGACCTAAACCCATTCAACTTAAACCGGATTAAAAATGACACGAAACCCATTATACTTGAACTGAGCTGAGCTGAAACCGAGGAACAAGACCATAGGACAACTTAAAATCACACTAGTTGTATGCGTTGTGTTTGTTCGTTGGATGAACAAATTTCCCTTCCAACTATTCTAACCGAAATTAAAATGGGCGAATTATGGAGAACTTCTCTTTTTTGGTTTTTCATGGGATGAGGAGAAGCTTTTTTTGGTATTTCTTAGTATCCAAAACACCTTTGGCATAACGATAGCTTTCGTTTTTTTACGGAGTGGTCCAAACTAGTCTATGAATTTTGGATTGACAATCTAATTTTCTCAGCTATAGTGCTTTTGAGTTTGTTTATAATGAATGCTCTTCGAAACATCGTAAGCCTATTCAAAATTACTAATATTTATTTGTGTTTATTCTTGTTCCTACTCCAATACAGATACATATTTAAAATTTTATTTATTATATTGACTAGTTTCTATTAGATTTTTAGTCTATTTATATTTTTATTATAATATTTTTTAAAAAAATTATAATATTTTGATAAAGTTATAAAAAATATTATAATATAAATATTAGATATTATCACTTTATAGATCGGTGGATAGGGTGTTGGTATATATAAAAAAAAATAGATTATAAATATCGACTTTCGAAAAAAAATCAATCTCCTATGATTTCTTAGGACGTACAAAAGAGAAAACATGTTAGAGAAAGTATCTCACTTGGAATCATAAATAAACATTTCAAAAAAATACTTTATAGACAATATAAATTATAAATACACTTTATAAGTTTTGAATGATTGCATAACAAAAAGTTATATTGAGTATCTCTCACAAAATATAAATTTTATTTAAGTCTCCGATCATTTCTCTAATTGGAAAAAGATGATTTTCAAAAAATTTATACAGAGATTCTCCCGATAAACAAATTTTTTTTCTTCGAAAATTCGTCCAATTAAGACGATACACAAAAGAGACCGAAGAACGTTTTGTTCTTGAACAGTCCTGAGAAAGGACGACGGAGAGGGCGAATCACCACGTGTTGATAGACGGGAAGTACGAACACTGCGCGTGTTCGTGTTCGTGGGACACGCCTTCTCCTCGTGCAATCAGCTACTGGTGTCTCCAGCACCTGGCAAATCGGTGGCCGTCCATGTGCCCCCCAACCCTCCATCTTTTCTCCCCTCAGCCAACCCTATCGTCCATAAATACGCACTCATTTGGAAACAGATCCACAGAGAGAGAGAGAGAGAAAACAAATCGAAGCGTGTAATGGATAGAAGCAAATCAAGGATTGTGCCACCATCTGCTCTACCGACCATACGAAGAGGAAGACCGTGTCCCAACCCAACTGCTCCTCCATGGGAGGTGATCCAACTCCTATCCCAATGGCTAGACCCCAAGTCCCTGGCGGTTGCCTCTTGTGTCTCCAAATCTTGGTACGCCATCTTCTCTTCCGAACACCTGTGGAAGCCCATCTGCCACTCCCTCTTCCCCTCCTCCCTCCACTTGACCACCGCCAATCCCTCCGTCTCTCATCGCCATCTCTTTCTGCTTCTACACGCTGCGTCGAAGCGGCGTCTCGCGATCCCCTCCCCGCCCCTCCTGTCACTCCGCCACCTCGTTTTCATGGTCGACGTTTTCCACGGCGACGCGCCCGTGCTGTCGCTTGCCGTTACAGGAGAAGAGCTCGAGTCTCTCCACGGGATCTTCCGATTCGAGGTGAGAATAGGTGAAGTCTATAAACGTGGAGAGGTTGATGCTCGAGAGGAGCTGAGGGTGGTCTGGATGGTGGTGACGAAGGAATGCCGAGAGGCCTTCACTTTGATCGATTATGTAGGCAAGGGCACGTCGGTCGGGAGCAACGAGTTGTGGTTCTCGGAGAAATTGCCGTGTCCATCGTCGTGTTGCTGCTCTGCGACCATGGATTTAGCTGACCTTGAGGCAGAAGTAGTTATAGAGCTTTGCTGTGACCATGACGAAGCTAAGAAAAGGGTAGCAAAGGTAGGCTTCGGTTTGATGAATAGCAAGGCTTGGAGGTACGTAAAAGTGGCTGATGGTCTGCTATATTTGCAATCTTTTCTTTGGCCTTGGAGGCATTAGCATGCGATCAACAATCTACTATTCTGACTTTTGTATGCGTATTGGGGCGTAACTCGACTACGTGCCACTGCCGTAAGAGAGACTTGCGGGTGTTGTACGGACCGCTAACTTCTCCTTTGATGAAACTTGTTCTAAAAGCTTTTTCGATGAAGTGTCAGGGAATATATATATATATATATATATATATATATATATATATATAATTTTATTAATGATTCCGATTGTCGAGTTAACTAACCATAAGTGCCTTTTATCATCCTACTTGTTCGTGCATTTTTGGTTTTTGTTTCCAGGTGAACGGTAAGTACCTGTTGAACAAGTAACATGTTGTACGAAACGAGTGTATGTTGAATAAAAGCTAAATATCGATAGCGATTTATATATTCATGTTCGTATGGGGTAATATAATATTACTTTACGAGCTCCTTTACCTCTCCGTCAGAGATGTTTTGTAATTTAAAAAGCTCAATTTTAAATCATTAAAAAAATATTACAATTCATGGTACCTTTGGATCTTAACTCATCAAACGACTCACAATTTTAGAGTCCTTTATGTAAAGATGAGACAATCTTAGCTTTATTAATACGTTCTTTGGTCATTCTAACTTTGGGTTATATCCTTGAATGTTATGATAACAGTTGCATCATTGTTATTATTGATTCTCATAATAAAAATGATTTTTGGTGATAGTCTTCATACTAAAGGATTTTATCATAATACTATTTTTGATGAAAAATATTTATTTATCACTAAATTATATATT